GGAAGGGAGAGGCCTGCACTCTACAGTGGTTTTTGTAGGGGGGTGGGGGGGAATGTCCCTACATATTCCTTCCTACCACCTGGGGAAGTTTCGGGGGGGGGGAGGGGATTTCCTACAGCCTGGAAGTGGCAGGAAGTATTCTAGAGGCAGGATCTGGAATCTCTGAGCCAGATCCTACTCTCACTTACACCAGTGTAAACCCAAAATAACTCCTGACTCCACTGGAGAGGCTCCTATTTAACTCTGAGCAGCATCTGACCTCTGTGATCCCATTGATCCATCTCAGCTCTGGCTGTGCTGTCAGCTCCACGCATGGGGAGGGACCGAGAGCTGCCAGGGGATATTACAGGAGAGGGGATGATTCCCACCGGAAATGAGTAGTCCCTGGTTCTGCAGGTTTCGGATTGGTCCCCTGGGATCGGCCTCTGCCTCAGCTGGAGTCACCGGCCCCGGATGGGATGTTTTACAGGAAATATTTCCCACTCATCCCACAGATAAATATAACGTTCTTTACCCTGACCCTGTGGATCCTGAGAAACAGTCTCTCCTCTCTCAATGCAGACGTGTCCACCCTCAGAGACCACAGGTGAGATGGCAACAAAACAGTCCTGGAGGGTCAGATGTCTTGGTTTGGAAGGTGCTTGGCACTGGAGGGTGTGAGGGATTGTAGGAGGGGAACAGCATATCTAGGATCCATAGGAACGAATTCCCAGTGTGTTTGCATTGACAGTAACCCTGTCCCACACAGGAAAGCCAGGGCCGGTAGCTCCACCCCACTCTGTCCAGATCCTCTTGACCCAATTGCTCTCCATAGGGTTATTGTAACGGGATCTCTCCATCTGCCTTTATCCAGGTTACTGACCTTTAAAGCCATCGCCCAGCTCTTCATTCTGGGCTGCCCATGGAGCCTTGATCTCCTCCAAATCAGCCCAGCAGCCACGGTCATGGTGTATTTATTCACCATCGTCAACAGCCTGCAGGGAGCCTTCATCTTCCTGGTGCACTGTCTCCTCAATCGCCAGGTAATGCCCACGCCCCGTCAGCGCCCAGTACATTCACTGGCCTCGCAGTGGCCATCTCTGATCTTCTCCAAGTTAGTTACATAGTGCAGTGACCATGTCCCTCAATCTCCAGGTGAGAGAGGAGTACAGGAGATGGATCAAGGGATTCCGAATGTTCAGCACGAAATCTCAGACATCTGATCTATCCATGTCTGCTGTCCCCACCACCAGCACCAAGACGGTAAGAGGTCCTCTGCTCTGTTCCAGTACCAGCCTGTGACACAGTCATCTCTAGCTGGGTCTCATCACTGCTGTAAAGGTGCTTTCCCCTTTCCTGGCACCTCCGTGTTCCCTTCCCTTGGCTCTCCTGGGAGCTCCAGGGGTCACTCACTGTGGGCTAGGCAGGCATTGGCTCTTGCAGTGTAATGATCTGAATAGATCAGATTGTCCCCTGGGATTGAATCCTTGTCTGTGCAGACGGATTATCTCCAATGAGCAGTCAGCACCGTGAAGAATTTCCCTTGGCTCCATTATCCCTATGGGTCAGGATTCAGGGGCTTCGTTTGTCGCCTTCCAGAGACAATCTGTCAGTTTGCACATTACACTCTCAGTGGCCTTGGAACCTATTTTCATTTTTCTGCTTTTCTTGCCAGGTGGAGTTGGCAGCAACCAGGGCCGGGTTCAATACCTAGGGGTTCCAATACAAAACCAAACCGGCTGGAGCCCCCTGTGATGTTGCACTCCATATGCTTTATGGAAATATGCTTATGAATATGACATAACTGGAATATACTTTACGCTAAATAACTCTTGCATGGTGTCTTTAGAAAGCTTATCTGCTAAGTGTGTTCATCCTATTTGTTTGCATGTGTTATTTCTATATCTGGACTTAGGACAATAAGATATAAACTTCTATCACTGATGGAAAAACATAGTAAGTGGAGGCCATTAAGTTGTGAATAGCCTTAGTTACTTGAAAGCCTCCCTGTGTACATGTGGGCCAGCCCATGGGGAATGGAGACTAGGGGTCTTACAGTGACTTGTGGCCATGTCACCTGATAACAAAATCCATCTTAAATCATGTATTTTCCATTTAGAAGGAAGGATGGAGGACCCAGAGAGACAAAGTCTGCAGCTCTGGGGGAACGGTCCAGACCCTGGGTCTGTGTTGCAGCAGGCTAGAGTGTCTGGCTCAACGAGGCAGGGTTCTGGAGTGCCAAGCTGGCAGCTAAAACATGCTCAAAGATAATTTCAGCACATCAGGTGACAGTCCCAAGGGGATCTCTGTGACGGAACCCGTCACACCCCTACCCAGTAATCTGG